GTTAAATAGAAATTTTTGTACTCTCTATCTTGTAATTTGTAATTTTGTAAGATTTTACTTTACTTTTAAATAAAGTTAGTGCAAAGCTACCGCACGTAAAAAAAAAAAAAAAAAAAAAAAAAAGTTATTTATTATATCAAAAATTAGTAAAAAAAAGATTTTATGTAAAATAAAATTATAGAAATAAAATTATAAAATAAATTTGTAAAAAGAGATTAAATATTTTTTTATGATTTGTATTTATAAAAATTATATAATTTTTTAATTTTTGTATAGTATTCTTTTTTTTTTATATAATATTCCTTTAATAATATTTAAATTAAATCTAAATTTTTTAATTAATACTCTAATTTTCTAAATAGTATTATATTATACTAAAAATTTTATTTATAATGATAATGATAAAATTAAACTTTTATTATGCTTAGGTATAATATTAATTCAAAAGATTCAAAATATGTTTAAGGATAGAGTAAATTTATTTCTCATTCCGGGTGAGATAAATTATTTTTCACCCTTATAATTTTTTTGTATGCATTTTTTATTAACAACAATTATTATAAAAAAAGAGTAAATTTATTTCTCACCTCGGGTGAGATAAATTATTTTTATCCCTTATAATTTTTTTTGTATGCATTTTTTATTAACAATAATTTTTATAAAAAAAATAGTATTTATCAATATTTATTGTTTAAATTCTGCACTAAATAAATGTAATAATTAAAGTCAAAATATCACAAACATGCTATTACTATAAGATTAACACGATCTCATGCTATTACTAAGTGAAACTAATAAAATAACACTTTGATCTTGCACTATAAACATGTGATTAAGTATTATAACCTAACCCTTAGAACAAGTGCTACGATAATGACCATATTTCCCACATGAGTCACACTTACAACATCTATTAGATATTGCTTATTCACCTCTACCTTTGCCTTTTGAATCTGATTTTTCAACAGATAGCTTCAACTGTTTTGTTGGTAGTCTTCCTTTAGGCTGATGCTTCAATGGATTCAAGATCTAATTAGAATTGATCAATACTTCTTTTGTATTACAAAGGACCTGATTATCATTCATTTTTCTATTTGCTAAAGCTTTTTGTTGCTTAATCGATTCTGCTTGAATTAATTGAGCTTCTTTTCTTTTATTAAAATTCTTAATAAACTGAATCAGCTCTTCATCATTATCTTGAATTGCAAATTGAATTGCCTTTTTGGCTTTACCCATTAGAGTACTAAATTTTAATTGATTTCATGATATTTGCTTGAAATACCTTTCTAAAAGATCATTTATGGTGTATTTTTGGACAAATTCTAAAGTGATTTGCACACTATTTTGATCATTTTGGCTATTACTTGTAATTGTTTCACTAGAATAGGTATCATTTAAATTGATATATTCATCCTTATACCAACGCTTAGGAATCAATGTCAAATGAAAACATGCATTAGAAGATTTAAAAAACACTTTAAAGAAATGCCTGCATATAATACCATGAGTGACAAGCATAAAACAAGTATATAAGTATTCTCTGGTATTAAGTAGAATTATATATTGATAGCATTTCAGGTAATTGTATTGAGAAATCTTCTAAACTTCTAAAATATCATTAAAACTAACCATTGAAATCAAAGATTTCAAGTCAAGCTCCTGATCCTCATCAGCTTCAATAAGAGATTTGGCAGAATCTTCTACTTTATCAAAGAAAGGTTCAAATGAACCATCATCTGATACTAAAATTTCAGAAAATTGTACTTGATATGCATGATAGCATACAGATTGATACATTTGTTTATAATATGCATCATAAATCAGCTATGTGAAATATTTATTTATGATACTATCAATGTTACTAAAGAATGTTTATATAATGAAAGGTTGTGTGTACTGTAATGTTAAAGCTTTTCAGATTGAATAACAATTGTTAATTGACTCAAATTCCAACTGATTTTCAAGAGATTCTTAAACTTGTAAGAGAGAGAAACTTAACTGCACGGCCTTTTTTATTAATGCATTTTCTGATTTCACACGCTGTGTAAATTGCGTTTTCGCTGTAAAATGTTATGATGAAAGTATTTTACCCAAGTATGCTTTCGATTCAATAGCATTGTAGTTATATATTTGCTTCCTGCCTCATATTTTTTAACTATCCCTTTGGTTTATTTTTCAAATACATTTTCACAATAAGAGTATTGAATTCCTTTAAAATCTTTAAGGAATTTCTGATAAAGTAATAATCCTAAATATGAACGAAGGTTTTTTGGAAGATTTTGATAGAGATGGTATAAACATTGCATATGATGAATCTCTGGAAATACTATAGAAATGACTGCAACATTGCGAGATTAGTATCAGTAATAAATGTTAATGGAGGAATTTCACATGCTTCAAGATAACATTGAAGTAACTATTCATATGATTCTTGTCTTTCATTCTGCATAAATGCTTAAGCTGCCAATCTACTCTTATTATAGTTATCGATTAATATGAAGAGACTTAACGGATAGTTATATTTATTCGTTCTTGCAGTATTGTCGTGAATAATAATATCATAAAATTTTGTCTACCTTTCACGCTGCTCTGGTGACATTCAGAAAATACCAACTAACTGGTTATTTGTATCATCTATTAATGGCTTTATAAACCATGCAAGATTATTAGCTTGTAATTCAAGAGGCTTTATTAATAGAAATGCTGTATTTCCTAAATTCAATCCCTTTTCTCGTTTAATTCTTTGAATTGCATTCCCTAGGTCTTAAATAAGAAATACACAATCAGGATACTTTGGTTGAAGGAGGTTCCTAATTGTTCCTGCATCACATCGGTCATACACAACATAAAATTCTATCTGTTCCATGATTTCTTCAGAAAAATTTTTATAAGTGGTAGAAAATTTCACAGTTTCAATAGAAATCTCATGGTTGTGTTCATTATTAAATAACGTTACAGTTGCTATTAGTGAATTTGATCATCTATTAACATTTACTTGCCACATACAGCCTTGCTTTTTGCTTCCTTTGCTTTTTTCTTTACCTAATATCGGTCTTGAATGTTTTTCAACATACCTTCCTTCCAAATCACACTTAAATACCCTTTTTCTACAAGTACTATCTAAAAATTTTTCAGTCTTATGCTTAAAGACGGTAAAGTTATTTTGAAGAGCGTATTGTTTTATAAAATGTATCACAATTTCCATAGAGTGAAACTTAGTTCTTAACTTAATTTTAATCAAAGTATTGATTGGTGAAAAAACACCGTTATAACCTTCAAATTTAGAGCCTAATACATCTCTAAAAACATACTCTTCTTCATTATTATTATTATTAGTGGGTTCTATAAAGGGTGCAGCATCGCAGAACATGATTAGTGTAGGTACAATAAGTAAAAAAATACGAATGTTTGACAAGTAAATAAAGACCTTCAATTTTTAGAGGGAGAAAAAAACTCTGAAGGAAAAAAAAACTTCGGAAAAAGAACTTTAAAGAATACTACCAGTCAAGAAAACTTCAAAGAAATTGGAAAGAATTTTCGGAGGAAAAAAAAACTTTAAAGAAAAAAAAACAGAAAAAAAAAAACTCAAAAGAAAGGAGTAAATTATCAATACCAATAAAGAGGACTTCAAAGAAAAATGACTTTCAAACTTCTCTCTTCAAAAAAAAATATAAAGAATAAAAAATGCTGGAGGAATAACAAAGACTTCAAACCTTTAAAGAAAAAATCCTTCAAATTTAAACTCTTTGCAGATTGGAAAAAAAAAAAACTTTTCTTCTCAAACTCTAGTAGCAAAAAAGTCAGAGACAAATAGTATAAAACTTTACCTTTCGTTACAAAACCCTTCATTACTGTTAGAAAAGAATCGTTGTGACTTAGAAAGTAAAGAGTTTTATACGCAGCTATTTTTTTATTTATTATTATTGAAAATTTAACGTGACTTATCTGGATCTCTGATGCGATTCATCAATCAGCCAGTCACGTAAATATGGGGTAAGAAATCACCTGAGTGAGGAATAAATTTTCTTAGGATAGAGTAAAAATTAGCTAATTTATTAAAGAGTGAAAATTAAACTTAAAATCAAGTCTGTATAACTAACTATAAATTATGTAACTTTATTTAATATACTAAATTTCTTTTATTATTTATTTACTAATATAGTTTTTTTTTAATTTAGCTAAACTTTTTTTATTTTATAAAGCTTAAAAAAGTTATAAAAAAAAAAAAAATTTATAAAAATTAAATTATTAAATTGTAAAATAATTATACATATAATTAATTTTCTATAAATACACTTTCTTTTGAACTAAGTATAAAGATATATATTTATAAAAAATGCATTTATAGAGAGTAGAGTTTATATCTGTTATCTGTTAAAAATGGATATCCAACAGATATTTGAATATTTGAATTGGATGGATACAAAATTTTGGATATTCAGATAATCCAATGGATATCCAGATAATACCCAGATATCCGCATTATTTAAAAGATATCCAGATATATTCAGATACGAATATATAAATGACATAATGTTATGATGACATGTTTGTTTAACATGACACGAACGTTAATGTTCTAACTAAAATAAAATAAATAAAACAAATATGAGTGGCCAAATATCACGAGAGCTATGCAGTAAGCACAACCCAATAAAAAAAATAAAAATAAAGAGAGTTCTAAAAAAAACAAGGAAGGTAAAAAAAACAACGAAAAAAATACATAAAACAAGAAACACAGAAATAGAAGTAGAACACGTATTGCAAGATCTACAGGATTCAAACTTGGTTAGCAATACTAAACAAAGTATTTTGGAGGAAGATGCAAATGAACCACAAGTTTTTGTTAATGTAGAATAAGAAAGTAGGTTGGAAAAAATTTCTAACTATGTTAACAATAAATAGAGTTTTATTTAGAATTATTTGGAAAAGTTGCCACCTACAAAAAGATATAAGAAACGTGTCAGGTGTCTTGTCAAAATTTCTGGTCAGTCTTGCAGACATATCCCTTAAAGCGTAGGTATAAATTGGCTATAAAATATTATAGAAAAATTATAATATTTTAATATCTAATAATTAT